GTTCTTAACCTGAAGCACTATTTCTGGGTTAGCGGAGTCTGTAACCTGAAGCGTATGTAACCTGAAGCGTATGTAACCTGAGGTACCACTGTATAGTGAGCACAAACACATCACTTTCTTATGTTCTTATCTCGGCATAGCTGTCAACGTCTCCCTTTTTTAAAGGGAAATCCCCTTATTCCAAATAGGATTTCTCACAAGAAAAGGGAAAAGTTGACAGCTATGTATCTCAGGGGTAGGCAAACTAAGGCCCGGGGGCCAGATGCAGCCCAATCGCCTTCTCAATCTGGCCTACGGATGGTCCGGGAATCAGCGTGTTTTTACATGACTAGAATGTGTCCTTTTATTTAAAATGCATCTCTGGGTTATTTGTGGGGCCTGCCTGGTGTTTTTACATGAGTAGAATTTGTGTTTTTATTTAAAATGCATCTCTGGGTTATTTGTGGGGCATAGGAATTTGTTCATTCCCCCCCCCCATATAGTCTGGCCCCCCACAAGGTCTGAGGGACAGTGAACCGGCCCCCTGCTGAAAAAGATTGCTGGCCCCTGCTCTAGTGCTTATTGGCTGTGGCGGTGGGAGTGCCTGATTTATACTCATTGCGGAATATCAGAGCTGTTATAGGGCCTTGGTGAAGGATGGGAATTGAGAATCCTAAATTGCTCCCTCTCAAAAAACATTGCAACCTAGGGACAATAGTGTATAGTTCCGGCCCACGGCTGAAAAAGGTTGCTGACCCCTGTTCTTATCTCCACCAGCTGGTGGCCACAACATCACTCCCAGAATATCCGGTAAATAGGATAATTGGGGGGTGGGATAGCTGCCACAAAAAATTTACAAAGCAGGTAAAGTAAGGTTTTTTAATATTAAAAATTGCATTTTTTTTTATTCCCATATTTATACAATTGCAAAAACTTCAAAGTAATGCAAGATAATTAAAAGATAATTCTGATTAAGGAGGGGGTGAGTGGAGGAGGGGTTAGTCTTCCAATTTCCTTACACCATTTCAATCCCCCAAAAAGTATCGTCCGCTTGTCTGTAATAACATTGCATTTATTTTTAACTTTCTGGGAGCTCGTTAGAAGGGATGCTCATTATAGACAGGAAAGAGGGTGAGGAGAGGGAAAGAAAGGCTCAAAATGAAATGGGATGTTCGGAACTCCCCTGAGAATTTTTGACAGCCTTACGGTAACTCTTTTCTCTTAACTTTGACATCCTTGGATGTTTTGCTTAAGCAGGTACCTATAAATTTGTCTCAGATATGGCCTTGAATGAACCGCAGAGGGTAAGATGTCTGGCTGTCCTGATTGAAACCCTTTTAGCTTCCATTCAAATCTCTTGGATGTTTGATCAGAGCTAACAGTGGCTAACTGGATAAATTTTTCAATATACTTCCTTTGCTCTGGGTGTGACAGCAGGAATTGGCGAATCCTGGTCCATGGCATTTTTGCATGTTCTCACCCATGAGCCTGTTCGGTCCTTCTTTCACATTAATTAGGGGTTGTTTCTAGTCCGGATAAGCATTTATTTGTTATTACTTATGAAATTCATATACTGTCCCTCATCTGAAGATCACAGGGCTGTGGATGAGGTGGTGATCACATCAAATTCCTCTAGCTGAAAATGGCCTGAGTTGTGTTGCTGTGAGCATGTGGCTTGCTTTGTGCAGAAATAGGAATTCCGTTTTTCTAATCTTAAATCCAGTTCTACACGTTTCTCTTGCAATCTGCATTTTTTTTTAAAAAAAAATCCTCATAACAATTCATCAGCAGATTTTTAAACACATTGTTTGTATGCGGTTTTGACCAAGGTAGAGTTTTGCAAGGGACTTTCCCCATCTAATGCATTTTGTATGTTCTTTCCACTAATATATTCACTTGCCGATCAAAAGGTCGGCGGTTTGAATCCCCGCGACGGGGTGAGCTCCCGTTGCTCGGTCCCTGTTCCTGCCAACCTAGCAGTTCGAAAGCACGTCAAAGTGCAAGTAGATAAATAGGTACCACTCCAGCGGGAAGGTAAACGGCGTTTCTGTGCGCTGCTCTGGTTCACCAGAAGCGGCTTAGTCATGCTGGCCACATGACCCGGAAGCTGTACGCCGGCTCCCTCGGCCAATAAAGCGAGATGAGCGCTGCAACCCCAGAGTCGGTCACGACTGGTCCTAATGGTCAGGGGTCCCTTTACCCCTTTACCTTTACCTCCCCCTAGCTATATGCATTTTTGTAAATGCTATTTGGTTGGAGAACTGCCCCATGAAACTCGCAGAAGGGCGGATTTTGAAGGACGTCTGTCCTTCAGTTCTCGTACTGTTTCAGAAACTGTGTGTTAGGTAAAGTTTGCCTTTGAATGTGAACCGAATCCAATTTCTCCGCCAAGCCTAGCAGGAAATGACTCTGCTCTTGAAGATGAGCACCGCCCAGGAGTCTGCCTGCTCCCACCTGCTCAACTTGTATATTAATAAACAGCAACAGCAACAGGCTAGTGGTCCTTTGCTAAGAGAATAACCCCCGTAAGTGGCTGCCCTCCAGAAATATCCATAGCTGTCAACTTACAGATTTGAAAATAAGGGACCAGCAGCCAAAATAAGGGACCTGCAGCCTCACCTGTTCCAGGCACTCCAGTCTTCCTGTCCTCCTGCAATCTGGTCAAACACATGCTGGTAGCTTCGAGAACACTGTCCAACCAACTTTGTAACCAGAGGTTCAACTGAATAGAATCTGAATCACATGCACCACAAGGCCTATGCAGCCTCAACTTAAGATGGCTCACCGGCCTGGCTTTGCACTGCAAAGTTTGCAGCAGCACGTGCAACAAAATGGCGTCCAGCATTCAAAAACTCCCTCAGCTTGCATTAACTAGCCACACACAAGGCATGCAAGCTCCACCCCCCAGTCGTTCTTAGACTTCTTATTGGGTGAGCAACACAGCCAAGCAACACAGTTGGAGCCTCCCTCCTCCCTGGCCGGCAGGGAGGGAGAGGAGCTGCTTCCTTTGAAATTTAAGGGACATAATTTAATGGACATTTAAGGGACATCCATCAATGAGGGACAGCAGCAGGACATGGCGCTGGAATAAGGGACTGTCCCTTCAAATAAGGGACACTTGACAGCTAGGGAAATATCCTGTTGCTTGAAGATAGCAGGGAATGTGAAACAGTATAACTAGGGTATCTCGCGCCATTCCCCCCTTCTTTTTGCAGTTGCCTCTGATGCCAAGACTTTACTAAACAAACCCATTAAACCAACCTATTCCTTCTGCCGAAAACACTCAATTTGAAAATAAAAGATAATAACTGACAATATACTGGTGCCGAGTATTCCATTCTTCACAGATTAAATGATCCTTGCTTGAGATCATCAAAAATAATAAAACCATTTGTAGACTTTGGGATGAAACACGACAATTGGAGAAAAATGGTTTCTTCCCAATCTGTGCCTTAATAATGATAGAATCAAATAATAATAACAATAATGAACATGCTGATGGCCATGATGAATGGAGGGGGTTCTTAGTGATGCAGGAAATTGAAAATGGTCTGAAGAAGGTCTCAGACTAGGGATGGAACAGAATTGCTCGCATTGTTTCACGTCCAAGTTTTCTTTTCTAAAAGAGATAACGTGTTTAGTGTCTTTAGCTCAATTTCTCAACTATTTTGCAATCATTTAGGGCTGAATTCTTTGCCGCTATCCCCCCAGAGAACCTGACGTTTTGCAGATGACCCCCAAATGGCTGAAAGTTCAGCCACCTCATTGATGTCTGGGGCCTGGAGGTAGTCAGAGTGTCGGTCTTGTTCCAGCTTCACAGTGACTTATTCACAGGTTAATTCGGGCTCAGTTTAAAATGCTGGTGTTGGTTCCTTCTTAAAACCTTGTGGGGCCAGGTTATCTCAAGAGCAACCTCCTGTCATATAATTCATCATCATCTTTCTTTCTTTCTTTCTTTCTTTCTTTCTTTCTTTCTTTCTTTCTTTCTTTCTTTCCTTCCTTCCTTCCTTCCTTCCTTCCTTCCTTCCTTCCTTCCTTGTACAGTTAGACCAGGGGTGGAGAATCTCAGACCCAGAGGTCAAATGCAGCCCTGAGAAAAGTAGAAACCTGACAGATTTGTGCATCCTTACCTGAAAGACCGGGACGCGGGTGGAGCTGTGGGTTAAACCACAGAGCCTGGGACTTGCTGATCAGAAGGTCGGCGGTTCGAATCCCCACGACGTGGTGAGCTCCCGTTGCTCGGTCCCTGCTCCTGCCAACCTAGCAGTTCGAAAGCACAAAGTGCAAGTAGAACAATAGGTACCGCTACAGCGGGAAGGTAAATGGCATTTCCGTGTGCTGCTCTGGTTTGCCAGAAGCGGCTTAGTCATGCTGGCCACATGACCCGGAAGCTGTATGCCGGCTTCCTCGGCCAATAAAGCGAGATGAGTGCTGCAACCCCAGAGTCGGCCACGACTGGACCTAATGGTCAGGGGTCCCTTTACCTTTACCTGAAAGACCACCTTCTCCCATGCAAAGCCGTCTAGGTGTTGACATCTTCCACAGAGAGTCCCTTCTTTCTGTCCTGCCAACGTCTGATTTTTTTTTAAAGGAACCTGAGAGAACCTTGCCCAGTCATTTTACAGCAGGCACGTCCAACAGGTAGATCGTGATCTACCGGTAGATCACTGGACGTCTGTGGTAGATCACTGGTAGATCAGTGGCTCCCCCCAAAGACGCTGAACAACTTTGACTTCCCTAACAAAAGCTCAACATTTTGGCTCTTCAGCCCCCCAAAATATGGGCCTTCCCTCTTCCCTAGAAAAAGCTCAACAACTTTGACCTGAACCCCCTCAAAGGGGGTAGATCACTGCCAGTCTTTAACTCTGTGAATAGATCGCAGTCTCTTGGGAGTTGGCCACCCGTGCTTTCCAGGAAACTAGCTATTGGTTGTGTCAGACCATTGGACCATTTAGTGCAGTACTATCTACACTGACAGTAGGTCTCTAGAGTTTCAGACAGAGTTCCCTCTGAGCCCTACCTGAAGATGCCGGGAATAGAACCTGGGACCTTCTACATGCAAAGCAGATGATCTACCACTGAGCTATGCCCCCTCACCATGTAGAATTGAGTAGGGAACCCGTAGTAAATGCATGCATTCTCATTCATAAACCACAGCCTTCACAGTGTGTAAATGTGGGCTACATTGCAAATCTAGCAACAGTTCTTCTTCTTTTTCTTCTTTTACACAGTAATACCTCCTCGAATGTCCACCTCGTCTAGCATCCATTCCGGCAAACATCCGCGGCAAACCCAGAAGTACCGGAACGGATTACTTCCGGATTTGCTGCTTGCGCTTGCGCAAAAGCACAACATCGCGCTTCGCCCATGCACAGAAGCGCAAACTGCTACGCTCACGTGCGCTTTGACCTGCGTCCTTTTTGGCTAGTGGCCGGGGCTCCGGAACGGATCCCGGTCACATAACAAGGTACGACTGTATTTTTTTGTTACATTTATAGACGACCTATTCATCTAAGAAGCTAAATGTAGTGTACATGGTTCTCCTCTTTTTCATTTAATCCCCACAACCCTGTGAGGTAGGTTAGGCTCAGGGTCACACAGTGAGCTTCATGGCTGAGTGGGGATTCAAATCCTGATCTCCCAGGTCCTACGCCATGCTGGCTGGCTCTCACATGCATGCATAAGAATGGATCAATGGGATCCTACCCCCCGCCTGTTCTGCCTCCAATTCTGGAAAAGGGTCAAGAATCACAGAATTGTAGATTAGGAAGGGACCACGAGGGTCATCTAGTCCAACCCCCTGCAATGCAGGAATATTCTATCAACTGAGCTATCCCAGCAGAAGGTGAACATGGTTGTTGGACTCTCAAGATTAGGATTGGCTGCCCAGCCCAAGACTGAAATGTCTTCCATATTGTGCCAAACTTCATTTGAAAGAAAGTAAGAAACTTTCCAAATATTTCACCCCTATCCAATTGCATAGACACTCTTTAAAATTTATATTCTCCCCACGCTTTCCAGCTTTTGAAAGGCAGCTGCTGTGTTATCTGTCATATTAAATAATAAAATAAAACTGGCTCTTTGATTGCACTTCGAAAGATCAAGGAGGGGACAGGTTCACACTGCTAAGTCGGCAGGTCAGCATATGGAACTAGCAAAGGGTTAAAACGAACCGGCCAAAACGGAACGGTAGAAATTGTCTGGCAGGATGATTTACAAGTATATTTCAATAGTCCCTAAAAGGCAAGAAAATCAAAATCAAATAAACCATTTCCCCCTCTTTTATTGGTATGGCTAATTCTTTTTCATTAGTTCACATTTATGACCATGGCTATGGTAGGCTTTCTAAAAAGTTTGTGTTCTTTTTTTTCTTCTTATTAAAAAGTCCGCTCATTTCTGCCAAAATTCTGAGTGCCGTTTAAAGCTGCAACAGTTGTTGGAGGTGAAACCATATTGGGGAAGGGCAGGCCTCTGAATATGACTTCCCTGACTTTCCCCCTTCCCAGCATAACATTAGCTTGCATCGCTCACTTTCATTTTCAGAGGTGTTCTGCCTCCGAATAGCAGCTGCTGGAAACCGCTGGAAGGGAGATGGCTTTTGTGCTTGAATCTTGTTCCCTGGTTTCCCACAGGCATCTGATTGGCCACCGTAACAACAGGATGCTGGACTAGATGGACCATTGACCTGATTCAGTAGGCTCTTCTTCTGTTCTTCTGTTCAGCTTACATCCCCACCAGGCGTAGCCAAAGTGTGTTCTCCTTCCTGGAGAGCACGTGTTGCAGTGGGGTCTGACAGGCCACCCCCTCAGTTGCTGGGTGGGATCATTTAGATGGCCATTGGCAGTGATTGGGCTAATTTTGATGCTGCCAATTTGTGGAATGGACCAAAGGTTTTATATGCAGGGCACGCGGCATTGAGCGTTCTTTTTTGCTGCGTGCACCAGATCACCTGCCCACCCTCCCTAATTTAGGGCTCTTGCATTTGACCTTGCTATGCCTGCCATGGGGTTGTCTGCTTTTGGGGCAAGGGCCTGGTAGGAATTTTGATGGACTATATGGAACTGGCAGAAATGACTGGCAGAATCCGAGACCAGGGAGAAGAGTCGGTGGAAGAAGAGTGGAAGAAATTCAAAGATTATCTACAGAAATATTGTAAAATTAATGAATGTTAGAATGATGTTGGATAGAAATTAAGTGGTTTCCAGCTGTAATGCTTTAAGGGAATATGAAAAAAGGGTTATAAATAGGTAAAAATCTAATGCTATTATTTTTAAGATCAAGGATTAGGATAATTAAAGAGGGTAAGGATTTGCTGAACCAACAGATTGAAGTGGAATACAAAAAAGGGAGGTCCGAGGAGGTCCGGAAACAAGCTAAAGGAAAATAAGTAATGGAAAATCTGGGTGTTTTTAACCATTTTTATTTTGTATTTTTGTTATTTTTTTCACTTTTATTGTAATATTTTAAAAAATCTTAATAAATATCTTATTAAAAAAAAGGAATTTTGTCCATTTGGCTGATTGGCTGGTGCCATTTGGTTTTTGCTTACTGTGTAGCAAATCGTCACAACTTGTAAGGTTGCGGTTAGGCATTGGTTAATTTTTGGTTGGTGGAGGGGTATGGATTGGCAGTGCCTGCCCCTCCAATGCTGCTGCTGCAAGGGAATTCCATTAAAGGAATCCAAGGGCTCGCCATGCTTTTGTCCGAATCCCTGGGAGCATGCGGAGAGAGGTGAGAGCCTGGGGCTCAGCTCCATTTTCTCCCCAATATTGTTTTCCCTTACTGGCTTTCACTCGAATCCGGAAGTCCCTGGATGGGGACAGATAGCCAGAACCAATGCCTAAGCAGCCACTCACATTTATGTATTTTAATAAAGTTGTGAGCAAAATTATGCCAAAAACCTTAAACAAAAATTCTGTGTGAATTGTGATTTGTTTGAGGGTGGCTTGGGGACCTCGACACACAATGTTGCAATGCATGGGCAGGGCAACACACAAAGTGATGATGTCTTATTGGGATGGTGTCTTTGGGCGCAGTGGTGCCCTTAGGGTCTTCTCCTGACTCTCACAAAGTTTTTGAGCCCCTCTCCCTCCCCCATTGGCAGTAAGGGTTGCTTACCTCCCCCTCCCCACTTGAAAAGTACCGTATTTTTCCATGTATAAGACAAGGGGGTTTTTTACCAAAAAAAAAATAGGTTTACAATTGGAGTTCGTCTTATACACGGGTAGTGCTGAGGGGTGTTTTCTTAATTTGGAGTCCCCCTAGGGACTCCAATAGGGGGCATCTTATACATGGAAAAATACAGTAAATAGGGTTGAAGGAGGAAGTTGGAAGAGTGACGCTCTTTCCCACTTCCTCTTTCAGCTCTACGTGCTTTTCCAGGCTCAGATTAATTCCGCCGGATGGGACTTTACCCAGCTCCCTTGGAGAAGTGAAATGTGTGTGCATATGTAGTGTATATGTCTGCACTTTTATTCTTCTGTCTCAAGGGGGCAGGGGGCTGATCTGGGGGGTGGGGTGGAAAAGAGGAGACCAGAGGGAGTGGAGCCAACAACCCCTGCTCAGAAGTCCAAATGTTCCCATAGGCCTATAATCTTGTTGGCCGCTTTGTAACATGATGGAGCAAATCAAGGGTGTACACCTTTTTCAGGATTTAGGGGCATATTTCCTTGTGGGAATGTGGTCAGGGTCCATGTGCTGGTGGCTAGGGTCAAAATAAAAATAAAAATGGATGGGGCACCCTTTTCTTCCATCCTGTTCACTTCCCTTTCTCTGTCTCTCACTATCTGCCCTCCCTCTATCATCTATCCATTCATTCTGTCTTTTACACCCACCCACGAACTCATACACCCAATCACACACGCCCATGCATCCATCCTCTCCTCCCTTCTTTCATCCATCCTTCTCTCATCCATCATCCGTCCATTCTTCTTCTAGGCTTTGGGGTGGGGTCGAGAAAGGGCATGCTAAAAAAGTAAAAATGCCCCGTGGGTTTTACAGTGGAGAATTATTCCTGTTCTTATTGTAACATTTTTTTATATCCCACTTTTCCCGAGACTGGGACTCATAGTGGCTTACCCAAATTAAAGCACCACAAGTAGAATACAAGATGCTAAATAAATCTAAAAAAAATCATCATTAAAAAAGTAATTAAACTCCACAAATTGTTGTTGTTGCTGCTGCTGCTGTTAACATAAAAGGTAAACAAATTAAGTACTTAACCCAAGGTACCACTATACTGGATCCAGTTCACCTCCCAGCCAAAGATTATCAGAAGCTACTCCTGATCCATTTATCTTAAAGGTAAAGGGACCCCTGACCATTAGGTCCAGTCGTGACCGACTCTGGGGTTGCGGCGCTCATCCTGCTTTATTGGCTGAGGGAGCCAGTGTACAGCTTCCGGGTCATGTGGACAGCATGACTAAGCCGCTTCTGGCAAACCAGAGCAGCACACGGAAATGCTGTTTACCTTCCCGCCGGAGCGGTACCTATTTATCTACTTGCACTTTGATGTGCTTTTGAACTGCTAGGTTGGCAGGAGCTGGGATTGAACAACGGGAGCTCACCCCGTCGAGGGGATTCGAACCACCGACCTTCTGATTGGCAAGTCCTAGGCTCTGTGGTTTAACCCACAGCGCCACCCACGACCCATTGCTGCTAACATACAGATAATTAAAAGAGCATAGCCCCACTAAAGCCCTTTAAAAAACAGTCAGTCCCCAAAGACCTGTCAGAATAAAACAATCTTGTTGTGGAAAGACATCAAGGAGGGAGCCAGTCTAGCTCCATTAGGGAGGGAGTTCCAAAATCTGGGAGCAGCCACCGAGAAAGGCATGCCATTTTTGGCCAGGTCCTTTCTGCCAAGTAAACCTTATGGTTCAGCCTTACTTCAGATGCTCCCAGTACAAGGTCTCAATCCATGGAACTGAAGCACAGCAGGTAGGGAGGGAAAAACAGGACCCCCAAAGCATTGACTGCTACATATGCAAGAGAACTCAAGCTGGTGCAGTTTCGTCTCATCCTTGCATAGGGATGCAAAAAGGCATCTTTCCTCATTCTTCTCTACATCCATTGCATGCAGACCGGTTTCCATTCTGCTGCAGCTTGCCTTCTGTCAAAAATAATTCACTTTGCAGTCTCCCACAGCGAAAATCATGTAACTTAATTATGTAAGCGGTGTCATCTTTATGTTATCCCACCCCATTCCTTTCAATGGAAAGGAAACACAAAGCAAAGCGGGGGAAGCAATCAATTATGTATTGTTTGCAGACTGAAAGAAACAACAACAGGGAATACCGATTGTATTCGCCGAATTGATTTCCGTTCTGGGTGTGGGGCGAGTAAGCAAACATGGGCAATTTCCTCTCCCGTTTCTGTTTTCATTGGAATTCTCTGACATTCTGACCCTTCCATGACAAAAAATAATGAGTGGGGCTCCCAACCTGTCAGTTAGGGATAGACGAATCTGTCAATTTCAACAAACAAACAAACAAACAAACAAACAAACAAACAAACAAACAAACATCTGATGAGGTTTCTTCTTGTGCACTGCGTTTATTTACCTTTGGGCACCCAAATGAGCAAGCAAAAATACTATAATAGAGATGTGCATACCATTATTTAGAGATTGACTATGCCTGCATGATGATGTCTTATTGTCAGTGAATAGGGGGGGAAAATATTCTTATGCCTGCACCAAATATTTTTTGATTTCAATGTTCATCTCAAAAGTGGCAAAGACCACACTGCCCAAAGAAGGATCTTGAGAACTGCAGATTCTTAAGGGTCTCCTAATATCTCAGCAGCTTTAGCAAACCACAGTTTTCAGGATTCCCATTGTTAAAGTGGCAAACTCTCAGATGGTTTATATGTCCTTTGACACCTTATTTTCCTGTGTGCTGTTTTTTCTTGATGGCATTTCCTTCTTCTTAAGCGCACTGACTTCCGATGAAGTGTGCCAATGCTGTCATTTAAGGAGATCGCAAGCATCTGTGACATCATGAACAAAATAACATGGGTTGCCATAGCCAATATTCTGGGATTCCTCCAAGGCTCCAAAGAGCCATGGTATGCATGGTTTTGCCTCTCCGTTCAAGCCACACAAGAACCCTGCGAGGTAGGAAACGGTAAAGGACCCCTAGATGGGTAAGTCCAGTCAAATTTGACTATGGGATGCGGCGCTCATCTCTGTTTTCAGGCTGAGGGAGCCAGCGTTGGTCCACAGACAGCTTTTCCAGATCATGTGGCCAGCAGGACTAAACCGCTTCTGGCGCACGAAGGACAGTGACGAGTGTCAGAGTGCACACAAATGCTGTTTACCTTCCTGCCACTGAGATACCTATTTATCTACTTGCACTGGCGTGCTTTCGAACCACTAGGTTGGCAGGAGCTGGGACTGAGCAACGGGATTCAAACTGCCGACCTTCTGATCGGCAAGCCCAAGTGGCTCAGTGGTTTAGACCACAGCGCCATCTATGTCCCACTGCCTCTGAGGTAGGCTAGGCTGGGAGGTAATGACTGATCCTAGATCATGCTGTGCTTGTTTAGGGTGGAGGGGGGATTTGAATTCAGGTCTACTCAGACCTAGTATGGGATGCTAACTGCTTCACCTCCTTGTCTCTAAAACAAAAATAAGTGGTAGTGAGGGCAAAGAATGCAAAAATTAAAAAATTTAAATGGTGCAAAGTACATCATGGGATATACTCAGCGATACAAAATAATTAAGAACAGGAGGGATTTTAAAAAAATATATATGAAAATACACACAAAACAAAATTGTCAGGTAATATCCAACTGTTTTCATCTGCCAAGAGAATGGACTGGATTCCCCTTCCTTTCTGCAGTCCTTCTGTGCCATCCAAATCAGATCCTAGTTTGGGGACAAGGTGGGGAAAAGGAGATAGTGGGGAAGCTCCATTGCAGAAGTGGATGTCAATTTGCACAATGTTGTAAATGGCACATGAATGCTTAGAAACTGTTTTTTTTTTTTAATGCATTTTTACTTTTACTATAAAAGGTGAATTTATCACACCACAGTGACCATTAAGTGCAGCGGTGATGAGGTGGACCACAAACCGGTACAAGGGCGCAGGGTCTCAAGGCAACACACTGGCAGTGAAGAATAATGATAAACATTTCCATCATCGCCCCCAGGCCCCAGCCCCAGCCAATCTGCCGTTTGTTCCCAGGAACACTGGGAGTGAGAGCGAATGCTCTGCTGAGTGAACACCGTCGGAGAAGTTCTGCAGGCATTCCCCCGTTCTGTACTCTGGAGGTCAGCAAGTTTGAGGTATTACAGCCACTAAGTGAAAATGAAAACTTCAAGAGGCTTGCTGTCTATCACCGCCATCACTAAATCTTTTTTCAACAATCCTGGGCAGTGAATTATGGAAGCATGGAATTGACTTACACTTCATTTCGAGCTGTAGTCAGTTACTCTGTCAAACACAACAGCGTTCAGAAAAGGCCTATAAAAATATATGACAAACGAAACTGGCAACCTCTATATCTTTTTACATGGGCAGAGCGTTTAAAATATAGCTGTGCTGAAATGGACTCTCGAAACTCTCCACCTTGTTTGTGGGGGAAGCAAACTGGGGAGGGAAGGGGAATTATTTCAACAAATTTCTCCAGGGGTGGAGAAATTCTCCAACAGTTTCTTGGGGGAAGCTCCCCATTAGCAGTTCCTCCCATATTATTTTTTTGTTGCCACTGTTGCAAATCACAGCAGCATTTTGTTGTCAGGCTGGGTACCATTTTGTTTACAATGCGCAAGATCTGGCATCCTTCTGGGGTGTTGCTTGTGCATGCATGTGGAAATCACAGCATTGTTTGTGCATGCAAGTGCAAATCACAGCATGGTTTGCGCATGCATGTGTAAGTCACAGCTGCCACAAAAAAATGGTCAAGAATATCCAGGGAAAATCAAGAATGTAAGAATAACACTGATGTCCCGTCTAAACTTGTGTCCAATTCTTTCTGGTTGCATATGGGCTTGTTCACATGTTAGTCTGAACACAGATACAAGCTGTCGCTATACACATAAAAGCGTTTGTGCACGTTGGTTCCGACAACTCTGCATTTTTCTTTTTCTAATTATCTTAATGTGTTTTATGTACAACAATTAGGGATTTTGCATATTAAGCAGTATATAAATATTACTGATGGTGAGGAACTGCTCTATACACAGGCCACAGACAGTACACTCATTGAAGAGAAGAGTTTGGATTTGATATCCTGCTTTATCACTACCTGAAGGAGTCTCAATGCGGCTAACATTCTCCTTTCCCTTCCTCCCCCACAACAAACACTCTGTGAGGTGAGTGAGGCTGAGAGACTTCAGAGAAGTGTGACTGGCCCAAGGTCACCCAGCAGCTGCATGTGGAGGAGCGGGGAAGCGAACCTGGTTCACCAGATTACGAGTCCACCGCTCTTAACCGCTACACACTACACGTCCACAAATGTACAGCCCAACTACTTAGAACCATAGAATCATCGAATTGTTGACTTGGGAGGGACCCCAAAAGTCATCTAATCCAACCCCCTGCAATGCAGGAATCTCAGCTAAAGCATCCATGACATATGGCCATCTAACCTCTGCTGAAAAATCTCCAAAGAGGGAGAGTCCACCACCTCTCGTGGGAGTCCGTTCTACTGCCAAACATCTCTTACTTTCAGAAAGTTCTTCCTGATGTTTAGCCAGAATCTCCTTTCTTGTAACTTGAAGCCATTGGTTCGAGTCCTACCCTCCGAAGCAGGAGAAAACAAGCTTGCTCCATCTTCCATGGGACAGCCCTTCAGATATTTGAAGGTGGCTCTCATATCTCCTCTTAGTCTCCTCTTTTCCAGGCTAAAATATTGCAATATGTCTTGTATGTAATGTGTGAACAGACGTTATGGGAGAACTGCAGGCAGGATCTGAAAGCAAAAACACTCTTTCTTTTCTTTTTTACATAAAGGAGTTTACCTTCAGTATTTAATATCAAAAACATTTTCTTGCATTGTTTAGTCATTTCAAACTGACAAATTTCAAAAAAAGGTGAAATGGTATTCACACATTTGTTAAATAAGCAACAAAACATTGTAAGAAAAATAAGAACTTAAAGAGGGTCAAAAACTGGTCCTTTTCAACCTCATCAAAACATGCTCGTAGTGAAAATTAATTTTACATATTTAAAATAGTACATTAAAAAATATTAGTTACATTACAGGTACAATGATGAACACTGCGACTATCCATAATATTGCACAACCTGGCTTCAAATATGGGTTTCTTTAAATAGTGCAAAATACTTTTTACAGGAATGTACTCCAAAGGGGATTTCTCAAACCAAATTATTTTTACAAAATATTATGTGAACAGAAAAAAGAAACTTTCAAAATAAAAAAGCTACAATCTGTACAAGAAATTGCCATTGACAACATCGAATCTCTATTCCTTGAGAAGTGGGTCTTAATCCAATCCAATAAAATAAAATAAAATAAAATAAAATAAAATAATGAAAGCAAAAACACTCTTCCCACTTGTCGTTCCTGCCAGCAGGTATCCATAGGCATGCTTCCTCTGACATAGGAAGTAAGGCAAATCCCATCTGGCTAGTGCCCATTGGTGACTGTGGCGTTTGCCCTCCTAGGTGTGTGACATCATACTGGGTTCATAAGGAAAGGGTTAACTAATTGTAAAATGACCAATGACCAACCAATGGGAACCCAAGGGGAGGAGTTAGAGTTGTTAAGAAGTCAGTCTGGAGTTAGAGAAAAGATAGAGAGGATAAGTCTGTGGGTTGGGCTAGTCTGATGTGGGAGAGTGAGAGAATCTGTTAAGAGGAATCAGTCAAACAGCTGATATAATCAGTCAGAAGGTATTAAGAAGGTATAGGCCTGTAAAGAAACTAAAGTTAAGAAACTGACAAGAATAATATCTGAGAAACCATAAACTTGTTAATACTTATAAAATAAACTTGTTTATTTGGTTCAATTTTAACAACTGTCTGGACTCAGTGTTTTACCCGAGAGTAACGGGTTGGTGGCAGCAGGGAAGCGAGCACAGTGGTGGCACAGGGATCAATAGACCGTTAAACGTCCGGGGACCCTGTGTGATCACCACAGTGACCATATCCAACTCTGCAAAGTGGCCATCTTTTTCTAGGAGAAGGAGGAAGGGGGTGAAAAGAGAAACATCTCAGAAATGTTCCTGGGAAAATGATATCTCGAGACATTTTGGCTTGGTCCTGGTTCGACTGAAAGACAACCGAGATGGCAGACTTGAATGCCCTCAGCTCTGGCCCTGCAGAGAAACACATTTGGGGAACCATCGGAAGAAAGCCAGTGGTCCATGATTTAGGGCGAAATCCTACAGCAAGATACACCAGGATGAGCAGGATTGGGATCCAGCAGATCGCCAGCTGAGCCGGAAGATTCTCGGTGCAGTGGGGCGATGCAAACCTAAGTCCCTAAGGATCCATTGAGCCCCCTCTTTTAAATAAATACTCATTTTTAAGTAATGCATCAAGCTGGAAGGGGGCAAAGGGACAAAGGTTTTGTTGCATGCCACCCCAATCTCTTAGTGGTGCAAAATTCCACGGGTCCCTGGCACTTATCCAAGGTTTGGTTTCCTTGGAATGAGGGGAAGCAGCCTGTATCCTAAACCTATTCTGCTCAGTCATGTGACCTGGCAACCTGAAGACAGGCAAACTAATACCAGTGTACTGGAAGAAGCAAAGATCACCAGTTTCGAAGCAATGATTCTTCAACATCAACTTTGTTGGACTGATCATGTTGTGCGGATGCCTGATGATCGTCTTCCAAAGCAACTACTCTCTTCCAAACTTGAAAATGGAAAGCGTAATGCTGGTGGTCAACCAAAGAGGTTTAAGGACTCTCTCAAGGCATTTTTTAAAAAAATGTAGCATAAATATCAACAATTGGGAAACACTGGACTGTGAGCCCTCCAGTTGGAGAACAGCCTTTACCAAAGGTGTCATGGGCTTCGAAGACACTCAAACTCAGGACAAAAGGGAGAAACGTGCTAAGAGGAAGGCACACTTGGCAAATCCACACCATGATCAACTCCCGCCTGGAAACCAATGTCCCCACTGTGGAAGGACGTGTGGAGCCATAATTGGCCTCCACAGCCACTTACTGACTCGTTGTTAAAACCGTGTTCATGGAAGACAATCTTACTTGGCTACGAGTGATTGCCAAAAGAGAAGAAGACACATGCAAAAAGGGTGGTGTAACTCAAACACTGTTTTAAAGGCTTCTTCTACCTCAGCCAGGTTCCTGAACACAGGCCCTCCAAGTGTCCCTATTTTCCAGGGACAGTTCCGCATTTACAGAAGGCACCCCAGTTTCTGATTTGATCCCAGAATGCCCTGCTTTTCCTTAGGATGTCTCTATTTTGAACAGAGGGTGCAGAGTTGTGCAACCCCTGAGCCAAGGAGATAAGTAACTATACAACCTTTAGAAGACATCTGAAGGCAGCCCTGTACATGGAAGTTTTTTTTAAATGTTTAATGTTTTATTATGTTTTTATATATGTTGGGGAGACCCAGCCAGATGGGCAGGGTAGAAATATATAATAATAATAATAATAATAATAATAATAATAATAATAATAAGCCACCCAGAGTGGCTGGGGCAATTCATTCAGATGGCTGAGGTATTAAATTTAATAATAATAATAATAATAATAATAATAATAGAATGGTTTGTCCCTATTTTAATCGGAGAAATGTTGGAGGGAATGTGATCAAAGCTAGGATCGGGTGTAACTTTACAGAGGCTTTCTTTCTTTTAGCTTCTTCTATATAGGATAGGCACCATTTTTTTTTAATAGGGAGGTACAATTTATTTTTTCCTTCTTCTGACTGGCAAACCCCACTTGTATTTCTGGTTTCTGCAACAAAGAAAGAATGGCTAGAGAATGGCAATATGGTATATTTAGCTAGAGGTTAGACTGTTCTTCCCGACTCTCTTGCTGAGGCACAGTTTTTCCCACTGAATTCAGCATAAAGCGTTTCCCTAACAATCTTGTTAAACCTATGGCCTTATGGGCAACGAGGAACCTTAAATTAAAGGGTTACGGCTAGGGCTGAAAGGTTTATGGTAAAATATTGTTTTCTCACAGTAACAAACATAGCATATTTCATGGCACATTGTCAAAGACTTGGGTATTTCATGATCAAATATGAAATATTTATTAATCTGGGAAGCACTTTGAATTCATTTCTGGTCCCAGGTACAGCTGGCACGTCGTGAAGCTGCAGGCAAGGGATCGAGAAGTCACATGACCCTGTGAGCGGGGGAAGGAAACGAGGACTTAATGGTCTAGAAGCCAAGCTTTATGAGGAACGGTCAAAGGAGCTGGGCATTATTTCTCCACTTGCCCCCCACCCCCAGTTATGCTCCATCAATTAATGAGAAAAGAAACTGCATCCAAAAATTATACAAGGTCAATGGAAATGCTTGCGACATTCTCAGGAGTGGGGGTG